GGACAAAGAAGAAGGATGGTGTGGGTGGACAACAAAAAGATGATACTGTGTAGGAGAGTGGTTTGATCTTTACCATTGGGCCCTTGTTCAGCAATATTGCTGGGGATTCAGCAATCAGAAATACCTGTTTGTGGTATGGAGGAGGAGTTTTGATGGGGTTTGGGGGTAGCAATGCCAACATGTTAGGGCCAGTACTATGGGATTCAATTTAAATTGGCATTTTTTCTGCCTTCTGCATAAAAATTTGATAAAAAGTGAAGAGATCAATAATAATTTCTTCACTTTTATGCTAACAACTGGCTTCTGGTGATGGTCAATTTTGATGAAATGGAAATTTAGGGCCTGTACCATAGACCCTGATTTTCAAAAAATCAAATTTTGATTTCCCAGTTTCATTTTTTTTCATCAAAACCAATAATTCACGTGTTTGTATTTGTTGGAAATTGGGTTACGTGTGGTACACAGTTTCATTTTATGATGGAAAAATGGATTCCCGCCTGGATTATGAAAAATTGGTATCTATGGTACAGGCCCTTAAGTAAGATCAATTCTGTAAAAATTGACTTTTTGTTCCCAATGGTACATACTGGCCTTAACTGGTTCTTCTGTTGAGAGCCCATCGTCGCAGAATTCTCTACCAACTTAACCCGTTCAACTTGTCTTGGCCTGCCTTTTCGCTTGTCCTAATAATGCTGCTTGAAGACTGCTTCATCCTTAAGCCTCCACCCCGCGTCTATGCGCTCAAAGAACAAGCTCTGCCCTGAGAAAATTCAAGAATGGATCAGTTGTGTATCTTCCTTTTACTGATTATCATGTATTTAGTCCGCCAGAGGGCGCCCGGCAACGTTTTCATACAATGGTTTTTATACAATGGGATCAGTTAGCTGATCCTTGGTGGATCATTGGTAATTTCTTTGAGGGAGTCGATCCAATGTCTGGAGCTGCTTGCTTGGCCTTGGTGCCGGACCAGTGGAAGTGCAGGAAGTCCCTGGAAGTACCCCAAACCAAGAGAAGAAGAAACAAACGATGACACCAAGTGTTTGTCAACCGTACAATCGATCTTCTTCGAGTTCCTTTTGCAACTTTGCGTCCGCCTTTGTTGAACTTAGGAACGTCTGCGACCAGCAACCGGTGCATATTGACATATTTAGATCCCTCTTGTCTGCTGGCTCTCGATCACATCGTGATCTGTTGAAGGAGGCTGTATTTATGTATCCATCAAACTGCGAGACTCAACCAAACTTTCCAACTTTCAAAAGGTTTTCAAACCGTGGGGACTAGTAACCACGATGTCACAGTGATCCAACGCAGTTCAAAGGTCTTTCTTCATCCCTTCTAGAATTTCTAGGAGCCGTGCTCTTGTTACTCAAACCACGAATTCTTCGGATACAATCAATAACTCCATATTTTTCCTGCTCGGTTTCTCCTACCAGCTCGAGCTCCTTCAGCTTTCTGACTGGCTGACTCGAGGCGCCGAACTGTATACCCATTTCTTAATCTCAATCTCAGTCCTCAGAGCCTGAAGCCTGCGCCACAGTCACCAAGCTAGGTCAAGCTTCTTTCCCGGAACCAAATTCAGTCCCCAACAAATCGACTGGTTCGCAGGGGATATCATATATACCCGCTCCTGACACGGTTTGTAGTACCTCTCCTGGAAGATTCAAACCATTATATCGTTTTTTGGTAACCTCGGCCGTCCCCAGGAACGCGCACTCTGACATCCCAATTAGTAACAAGAGGTAACAAGACTTGCTTGCTTGAGTTGTAGAATTGACTTAGCGACCGAGTCGGCAAGCCTTCTTCTTCCATCGCAAAAAGCAACACGTTCAATTTCGTAGAGTCTCTTCTATACATACATATTACCGGTAAGATTCAGTTGCCTCTTTGGCCAATGATGACTTCATCGTTTCTAGGCACCTCACGGTGATCGATTGCTGACAGAGGGACTCCTGCTTCGCTACATGCCCCTATGAAAACTAGCTGACTTTGGTGAAACCCAGCGACTCGGCATTGGTGACTGTAAACGCTGACGCGGGGGGGAGCGTAACAATCAAAGCAAAAGATCCCTGAATCAGATTACTTGGGTTGACGAGTGTTCAGTTTAACGCGTCCGGCACACAAGCGGTGAAAAGGCCGACTGAAGCCATCTACATACTGGGATCAATCTGGTCCAACCTGAGTTGTTGCCACACTACCTAAACACTTCTCCTCGGACCGAGTCTGGGTATATGGAATCCGAAGCGGTTGCCCCAACTGTGAACTAATTGAAATTGATTTATAATATCATCGCAACATTGCTCTCTGTCGCCGTCTTTAACCTTTTCGACTCGGTTCGACTAGCCTCTCGTCTTTTGTTGTTTACCCCACATTTCGGCCGGTCCAAAAGAACAAAACCATCCAACCAATCCAGCCCTGCTCCCTTCGACCCCACTCGAGCTTTGAAACCTTGAAGACACCGAATCAAAAATATTGTACTGTCCAACATAGAAGCAAGATCCCATCTGTGGAAGTATTGTAATTACACGCTCTACATACACACCTACTTACATCCAATCAAATATTCATCCACATTCCAAGTCCCAACTCCACGAGTCCACCCCCACCCAATCCAGGTCGGCATACATAAAACCGAAAGTGAAAATCAAGAAGGGGACGAGACGATTGTTTTAAGCTTAAATACGTATTGTTGCACTTCCGTCAAAGAATCGGGCAATCGTGAGAAGGAGGGTCTTGCGGTTCAGAACAGTCGGTAAATACACCTTAACTCAAGAAAACATCGCATTAGCCCGCCAGCCGTTCCCCCCCGCACCGCTTGTAGATTTCCACTTCTTTCTTTTCGAGGTTGTGAACCAAGCTACCAACCGAACATGTACGTCCATCTTCCTCCTGATTCAAACTTTCCCTCTTCACAAACTCTCCTTCTAGTGCGGTGCAACTACATATCCTGAAGTTACTACAAAAAGGAAGTTCATATCCAAGTAGCCTCGACAATTAGTCCAGCCTTCATCATTAGTGACTCCTGGTGGTGTGATGTGGTGCAGAGTATTCCTGCCTGAATTGAACAGAGTTTGCGTCTGTTTGCGTCAAGCTTCCCATGCACACTTCAAAAAACCCCTTCCCCTACCTGAACTCAACTTCGCCCCTCTGTCCACCTCAGTCTCACACCCCTGAGTCCTGGCCTGCGTACATAGATCGAGAACTTATTCTAAATTTCAAAAGTGTCCCACTGATATTCCTCTCCCACCTTCAATCAAGTGGTCACTTTTGGATAATTTTATTTGATATCCACATCCAATCCGTTCCAACTTTTTCGTCCTGCCTGCTATACAAACACCGTCACCGCGAACTTCACAATATTGATAATTGCATGCAACTAGATACAACTATTCCACGTCCATCATACGCTAATCTACCCACATGCACGCTGTGCGATCGGCGAAATAACAGGCGAAAAGCAGACCTCATCCAATTCATTCCTGTCTCCAAATAACCGTTTATAGCCTCCTCCTGACCCCTTCCCCCCGCGCAACAACCATCTTCCTTTGCCTTCCGGCTGGTCTCGATTATACAGCGTGAGTTGTGTAGAAAGCGCTCTACCTGAAGTTCATTCGGCTGTACATTCCAGATATGAACTCTTCAGTATTTGTCGCCAATGGCTTGAGCCAATAACATTCATCACATATCATCACATATCATCTATCTGTACGATGGGCCACTCTTGACGCGCGCTCTCATTCCCCCCTGCCATATCTTGCCCACATACATGGCGTCAAGTCATTTGCTGACATGATTGTTTTGCTTCAACCAACCAGATTTACCGCGCGGATCGTCGCACATCCATTAGTGACCGACCCATCTCTATCTCCTCAACCTTCCTATTCCCCCACATACCATATACGAAAATACCCTGCCAAGACTTCTCAACAATGTGGAAGCTTCCCACATCTCGGAGGTTGTGGGCATTCATCCTTGTCCTCTCGATCCTCGTCGTGATTTTCTGGCAACACATCTTTTTACTGGCGAGGATTTTGTCGGTTTATCCACTTTGGCCAATTTACTCATCGAGCCTCTCACTCAGTCTTGACAAGGACGGCTTGGATACAACATTTGAAAAGTATCCGGTCGAACAATGGAGTGTCAAATGGCCCCCTCGATCAGCCAACGGTAGTTGGCCCGCCCCTGATTCAAGTCTATTGCGGCTCAGTGACGGAAGTTTGGCAAGATTACCCGATGAAACATACGGCGGTGGTGTCAGCTACTCAGAGCCCGATGAATCCGATTTAGTACCCCCAATCCTGCACCACATTCTTCTGGGTATGGACCGTCGGCGGATGCCCAAAACATGGACGGCCAGTCGGAACAGCTGTCTCGCGTTAGTGTTTTACACCACCGTTTGCGCATTTAGCCCCATCTCAATCAAAAGCTGACCTCATCACCACACTTAATTTGGGTAAATTTTCTGGCGTGTGTTTGCGCAGGCTTCATCCCGAATCAGCTAATTACACCCACTACTTTTGGGACGATAAATCTGCCGAGGAATTCATGCGAAAACATTACTCATTCTTCCTGCGCGACTTCCTTGATTACCGGCACAACATTCAACGGGCGGACGCGCTGAGATATTTCGTCTTGCACCATTTTGGCGGGATTTTCTTTGACATGGATCTCGAGTGTCGACGTTCCCTCGGGCCACTTCGAAGGTTTGCGGTCGTCAACATCAATGCTTCTCCAGTGGGCGTTTCAAACGGGTTCATGATGGCACAAGCTCAACACCCTTTCCTGGAACAACTTATCAAGAATCTCAAATATTACGATCGTAGCTGGCTAGGGGTCCCCTATTTTGATATTATGCTATCAACTGGACCCATGTTTCTATCAACAGAGCATCTCCGTTTCCCTGCCTCTCAGCGTTCCACTCAACTACGGGTTCTCGGTGGACGGCAGCATCGGCTACACGGAAGCGTCGTCACTCCGCTCTTCCGACACTTGGGTGCATCTTCATGGCACCAAGGCGACGCCAAGTTGTTCCTCAAAATTCGGGCGTTGGTATATCAGCCGTTCTTCAGTTTGATGTTGTTATGTGGATTCATCGGTGGAAGTGTCGGTTGGCTTGTGTGGAAAAAACAAACCACCAAGCAGGGAGTCGATCGAAGCTGGTCCCAATCCTCATCTTCAGCCGGTCGATTGATTCTATGGAGATTCGGTTTTGGAAGCAGAAGGGGACGTCGGAGGACGGCGGAAGAATATGAAAGAATTGAAATGGATTTAGAATCTCCGACAGGTATGATGAACAACAGACGACTATCACCAATTCTTGAAGACGACGAAGATCTTGAAGCAAAATCAAACTCTGACCTCGAACACAAGCAATCAATTCTGAACTTTGGACGCAAACGACCTGCGTACAACACTCTGAAATCGCCTACGACCCCGAGCGTGTTCATGAGCGAAACCGAGAACCTGTGTCACAACGCAAGTAGTAGCGGTGGAAGTTGCCCGAGTACGAGTAGTGACTCAGACGACGACGGATCTTCGGCAGAGGCCGTGGTAGTTCTTATCGATCGACATCCTTCTAAATGGAGAAGTTCATAGACGAAATCCACCCAAAACTCAATTGTCTAGATGCAAGATTTTGCCGATTAGAGATGGACGCACCTTCACTCTTCTTGTCGATCCTACCGGATAGTTTTTGTTTTATGCACAACACGTACATAGCTTTTAATGATGTATATTTTGATGTTAAATAAAATTTCTTGGCCGAACTCATTCAGGATGGTTTTGAAAATTCCAGCTTAAATGTAGTTTTATCATTGTCGCTTCTCGAAAAATTTTGGCGATTTTTTTTTCTTTTTTTTTCTGTTCTTTTTATCATTCTTGTCTAGTTATCACCGATTGAGTCTGCTTTCCCTTCTCTATTATTATCAAGGATCCTCATTTTTATGAAATCTGTCAATGGAATAATAATTGTCCAATGAAACTCAACAACATCTTGAGAATGTTTTGATCCCCCCCCCCCCACGCAAATCTACTCCAACTCAGGACGGAGCGCTCTCTCACAGGCCAAACTTGGCTCTCTTTCCGCAGTAGATTCGGTTCGAGCACATTATTTTGGCGAAGCGATCCGTCATTGCATAGAGTGCGTGCTTCTGAAGCTGGAACGTTAGTTGTCCAGAACTGGGCTTGAAAGTCATCGCCTCAAGCTAATGGGAGTGTCAAGATGGTATTATTGTAGATGGTCGCAACACGGCAGTAAGATTCTTCAAGATGAAATCCAACTCCTGTCTTGGTGAGGGAAAATCCATCCAGCCGAAGTTGCATCAATCGAACCGTTGCATTGCCCCGATTCTCACCAGTTCTCATTCATCTCTTCACCACGGGAAGGTTCTTCCCTCATAGTGCGAGAGATAGCCGTTGAGATCTTCTTTCCCTTGTTGAATTCCACAGAGTATTTATATGAATTGGGAAAGTTGAAGCTTCGTGCGCCGACTAAAGAGTCACAACAAACATTCGAGTCACATCCTATCACATTCACAGACGATGACCCGTGGAAGGCCTGATAAGCCATAAAGTGCCGACGGCAGACGGCCCAAGACTTCAATGACCAAGATTGAATTCCTCATCAACTTGCAAGTAGCAGGCACACTCCTGCGCGGGGTCCCACCCGAAGATGCACCGAGGTATCTCAGAAAGAAATGTTCTCACATGTCTAGATGTTCTTACAGCAGGTCCGATTGTACATATCGACCCAGGTGGAGGAGAAATCTCTCATCGGCACCTAGTGACTGCTTCCGTGCTGGCCCATGCTAAATGTGTTCCGAGTGAGACGAGCCGGGCAGTCAACACTGTTAACGTCTTCTCTTCCCCCTTGCCCAATTCGAAAGCACCGTCCCATTCCACCAACATTGATACGCCGATACTCTCAAGCGCCCAAGTAGAGTATCCGTGGAATTAAAGCCTCGCAACGAACACACTTACCCAGTACTTTCGAAGAGATTGCTAGTGGACAGGTTTCAAGGTAGGCTGGTTTAGCTTTTGTCATTCGTCGACTCCAGTGACACTTTTTTACGCTTTTCTCATTTCTTGCTCATTTACCGCAGACACAGGTGTCCGAACTGTAAGTTCTGCCTTTCACGTGATGTCATGAGAAATACAATGTGATCAAGTGGACTTGTCTTCGTTATTGGCGCATATCCGTCCAGTGACCAACAGCAGCTAATCTTTTGCCGTGTCATACCGCTGGGTTTCCCGTTAACCAGGACAATCCACATTATATTAATTTTACAAAATCACATAATATTTCATAATTCTGCAATAATAAACATCCAGTTATACAACGCATTCGGCTCCCTCAACTCAGTAAATCATTGGACGGTCACAACTTTGCCGCATCAATAACACAGACAGACAGTTCACTATGGTCCCGGCTTCCCGCTGGTACCTCTTTTTCTTCGCTACACTCGCTACGTTAAACTTCATCAAGGCCGCGAATCAGAACGCATCTCCCTCTTTGTTACCCAAGCGGTATCTTGTTTCACTGAATCGTGACAAATCAGTTGAGTCAAGTTCCGTTGGATTTTCAGTCCCGCGATAGCAGCTAATAACCGTAATTATCTTGTAAATGTTAGACTTCGTTGGAGGACTTCAAAGCGCACCTTGATAGCAAGGGAGTTCAGCATGAAGTTGTGTTGGATATGACCAAAGTGCTTCCCGACGTGTTTTACGGTCTTTCCGTGAGACTCTCGGATGAAGACGACCTGCATCACTTGGAGAATTCTGCTCATGTGGAGGTGCGCTAGCCCGACTTTGTCACAGCCCTGACGGACTTGTCTGACATCTTTATATCTTCTCTGGGGAAAACGCCTCTCTGATTGGCATTTCCCAATATTAATGGACGCAGAAAATCAGTCAAGTTGAAAAAATCAGACGCGCTGGTACATTCGACGAGAGGATTGTAGATGCACCTATAAACTCAACTCCATCGCTATTTCCCCCTCAAGTCCAGAGTCGGATCACCGAGCTCCACAAAATGGGAATTTACGGAAAAGGTGTCAAAGTAGCTTTAATAGACTCCGGCGTTGACTGCAGCCATCCGGCCTTAGGGAAAGGATTCGGGCCAGGATTCAAGATAGCCTTTGGAAAAAACTACGCCACCGATGATGACGATGACGAAAGTGGGGAAAGCGACTCTGCCAACCACAGCGTCGAGCCCCATGGCTTGGAACCTCGAGCTATGCACCTTGCGACCAGAAAAAACAAACAGGAAAAGAAAAAGAAAAATGACAGTCCGTGCACCCAATGTACAGTAAGTTAGTTATTAATCAGCAGTTTTCTGAAAATCCCTTCTGATGTTATGGGTTGCACTTAGTCCCACGGAACACATGTAGCTGGAATAGTTGCCGCGACAGATGTTGGCTACGGGTTTATGGGAGTGGCTCCCAATGCTACCCTTGGGATGTATCGTGAGTAGGGCCGCGGTATTCTAAATCACCATGTGCATCCAGTAGTTGACCCTCTTTCTTGATGTCTTGATTCTCAGGTGGTAAGATTCCGGATCTAGACCACAATCTGCTACATTTCTTGAATCTGACATTTTGATGCTGAACAGTCTTTGGATGTGGTGATGAGGGTGATTCCAGTACTGATTCTCTCGTTGCGGCCATGTTACAAGCTCACAAAGATGGGGGTATGTGGAATGCCACCTTTTTTCCTACAAGTCGTCTCAGTCTGACTTTTTTTTTGTTCAAAAATCACCGCGTGCCTGTTTCATAGCCGACATCATTTCAGCGTCTATAGGTGGCCCTGGCGGTTGGGGGCAGGGTGAAGAACTGCTGACCACTGTGAACAAATTAGTCCAGGAGAAAGGTGCTATAATAATTGTCGCAGCGGGCAACGAAGGTTCGGTGAGTGAACAAGAAAACCTGCACGACTTCCGCAGGCCTTTGCTAACTCGGTTGGTAATTGCAGGAGGGATTGTTTTTTGGGGACAATCCAGCGTCAGCAAAGAATGCTATATCAGTTGGCTCGGTGGAGGCACAATCAATAGTGGCGGGAAAGTTCAAAGCTTCAACTGGCAAGGAACTCACGTTCTACCGGACCAGCACACTGAACCTCTCTGGCGAGTATCCGGTTTATATCACTGCCAATTCGACCGACGACTCAAGTGATGCTTGCGACGAACTCCCCAAGCATACTCCGAATCTCACCAATCATATCGTGCTGGTTAAGAGAGGGTAAATCTGTTTCTCATTATCACCGGCAGATGATATTTCTGACACTCCGGGTTTCCACAGAACCTGTCTTTTTTCTATCAAAGCAAAGCACGTCGCGGCCAAAGGCGGGAAGCAAATTCTCTTTTACATGGTGCGCCTTCTGACATTTTTTAGATCGTTCATGCACTGATCAATTGTCATCTCTTTCTGTAGAATTCGACAAGTATTGTAACCTTGCCCAACAAAATGGCAAATGCTTCTACTGCCCCGATATCATTGGAAGATGGGAGATATATTTTCCATCATGCCAAGAAGGATCCCAATGGTTTCAAAGTTTCATTCCCGCCGAGCGGTCACTTTTATCGTAAGTGCATTTACTATCGAGGTTTGCTTCTGCTTGAGATACTGACAAATTGCCATCCTCAGTCAATGTTCCCGACGGTGGTGCCCCGAGCAACTTTTCACAATAGTTTAGTCTGATTTTGTGTTATCTTTGTCGGCTCGTTTCACTGATCATTTTTTTCAATTTCAGTGGTCCTAGCTTCGATTTTGAAAGTCCCCAGCCTGCGGTGGCTGCTGTGGGTGGCAACGTAGTTTGTGTGTAATCAAAGTCTAAATCTCTGGAAAAATACCCACAGCTGACCATCTTTGACCTTATCATTTTAGCAACTTACCCTACAAAAGACGGTGGTTATGTAAGATGCCTTTGTGCAAACATAATGCAAAACAGAAGATCTTTTCATCTAATGGATGTCTTACTTCTTCTCACAGGCATCCCTAAGCGGTACTTCTATGGCCACTCCACAGGTATGCTTCCATGATTCAATCACCTCCAGGATCTTGAACTGAGCCCGTCCTGTGCCTTGGCCCAGATTGCTGGAGTAGCTGCATTGATATTGAGTGCAAGAGGGAAGAAATTTACTGGTTTAACTATGCGTTCTCGATTGGCAACCACGACCAAACTCATAAATCGTGCCAAATCGCATAATCTTGACTGTGAGTGATTGTTTGGTATTGGTGAGGTTTGACTCCAAATTGACGTGTGTACTGTTGAAGCCGCTGTTCACCAGGGTGGAGGCCTCATCGACGCTTTCTGTGCTGTGTGGACAAATACCACAATCTCAGTTCCTGGCCTGGTCCTCAACGATTCGGTCTCTTTTCGGGCCAACCAAGAATTTACAATCTTTAATAACGGCACCGGTGTCTTCAATTACATCTTAACCCACCGTCCAGCAGTAACGCTGGAAACCTTCTCGTCAGACACAAAGTATGGCCGACCAGATATCAATCCCAGTTTTTCAAATCAGTCAGCAGTGGCCCAAATCAGCCCCGAAAAATTCAGCTTGCCGCCAGGTTCATCCCAAGTTGTCAAAGTCAAGTTCTTGCCGCCCCAGGACTTGGATCCACATTGGCTCACGGTTTATTCAGGCTTCATCGTGATGGTGAGTTTCAGCCACCCTGCAGATACGTCTGTTTTGTTGAAATAAGCTGATAGACTCAATTGGGCTTAGGCTTCCGATGCTGATTGTCAAAGCCACAATGTTCCTTATTATGGTGTGGTGGGATCCCTCAAAGAACAACGAAGTAAGTCCTTGATATTTGACGGAAGGCAGCCTGGGATTCAACGACAAACTCACTGACCATGCCGAGCATTACCAGTCCTAGACCGAGGTCCAAATGAAAACAAAACAGCCAGCTATCCATATCTTGCTTATAAGAAGAAAGAATCTTCCAAGGATGGAAAAAATTCTACTGATACAAAAGTCAAAGCCCAGCCCCCACTAAACACTACTTTTGTATGGGACTTGAAAGCACACAACACGACTGTCATTCATTTTAGAACACTCTGTAAGACCGATTTGACTAGTCCTTACAACGACAATGCTAGCACAAACACTTACCACATGCTGTTTTGCAACAGTTGGCACGCGTCTTCTTCGCGCTGATGTATTACCTGGAAGTTCATTCTTATCCAACGCGACGGGCAGTAAGGACTTTGAAAAATCATTCAGAGGCTCACGCTTGCTGGGTCTCATACCAGACAGTGATACTGTGTCACTTTCACGCTCTAGGTTTGCCATGATTGTGCTTTGTTACGATCAAGATGAATGACTGACCCTCTGCGGTGAAACACAATTTTGTAAATTCTGCAGCGCGGACGATTCATATACCCAACCCTGGAATGCCACAGTTGTTACGAAAACCAAAAAGAAACCTCACTTTTTACCCAATGGAAACTACAAGGTTCTCCTTAGGTTTGTTGCTTGTTAGTTTATCAACCAGGACTGCAGTTTCTAATTTATGAATTTTTTAGGGCTTTGCGTGTTACCGGAAACAAGGCGAACGAGGCCGACTATGAGTATTGGGTTTCCCCGCAGTTCAAGTTGAAAAACTCCCGAGGGTAGATGGGTAGACTTCCCCATACATTCCTTTTCAGATTGGGGTGCTTCCCTCGCACTTCCACCTGTACATGTACATTCCAATTAAATTACTTTAGAGTGGCCTTTTGCTTCTTACCTCTCCTAATTTATTTTTTTGTCAAATCTCACTGTACCATACTGTTTTTTTTTCTCCTGGGAATGATTTGTTGTACCTTGTCTGCCCTCTTATCATTCAAATTGAAGTGTTCCTGAAACTGTCTGTTTGTCAACCGTTTTGACTCTTCCTTTGGCAGATCTGGGTTTTTAGAATTTCTTTTAGGTATTTTGAATTGTGTGAATGCATATAGACTCAGTTGGGCTTA